CGGGCTCGACGAAAATATTGACTTACTGACGGACATCAGTGCGTCTCTGATGCATTCCTTTAGTTTAGCGAAATGGCTGAATTATACTGACTTAATCAATGCTGCATTTAATTTTTCGTTTTCTTTTGTAAATATTGGTGTTTCGTATTCTGTAAGGTAGCATCGACGAATGACGGATGAAATGTTTTCCCCTGTCTAGGGCTACCTCATACGTCACTCCGTCAGTGAGTTCGTCACTCCGTCAATGAGTTCGCCACTCCGTCAATGAGTTCGTCACTCCGTCAATGAGTTCGCCACTCCGTCAATGAGTTCGCCACTACGTCACTTGGATGATTGACGGACTGACGTCAATGACGGATTAAGCTAATGGCAATGAATGACGGAGCTACCGATTCATTGACGGAGTGACGGATGAATAAGGCGTGTATGTTTCAGGGCTACCTCATACGTCAGTGAGTTCATCATTCCGTCAATGAGTTCGTCACTCCGTCAGTGAGTTCGCCGCTACGTCAATGAGTTCGCCACTCCGTCACTTGGATGATTGACGGACTGACGCAAATGACGGATTAAGCCAATGGCAATGAATGACGGAGCTACCGATTCATTGACGGAGTGACGGATGAATAAGGCGTGTATGCTTCAGGGCTACCTCATACGTCAGTACGTCAGTGAGTTCGTCACTCCGTCAATGAGTTCGTCACTCCGTCAATGAGTTCGTCACTCCGTCAGTGAGTTCGCCACTCCGTCAATGAGTTCGCCACTCCGTCACTTGGATGATTGACGGACTGACGCAAATGACGGATTAAGCCAATGGCAATGAATGACGGAGCTTCCGATTCATTGACGGAGTGACGGATGAATAAGGCGTGTATGCTTCAGGGCTACCTCATACGTCAGTACGTCAGTGAGTTCGTCACTCCGTCAATGAGTTCGTCACTCCGTCAATGAGTTCGTCACTCCGTCAATGAGTTCGTCACTCCGTCAGTGAGTTCGCCACTACGTCAATGAGTTCGCCACTACGTCACTTGGATGATTGACGGACTGACGCAAATGACGGATTAAGCCAATGGCAATGAATAACGGAGCTACCGATTCATTGACGGAGTGACGGATGAATAAGGCGTGTATGTCTAGGGGCTACCTCATACGTCAGTACGTCAGTGAATTCGTCACTCCGTCAATGAGTTCGTCACTCCGTCAAAGAGTTCGCCACTCCGTCAATGAGTTCGCCACTCCGTCACTTGGATGATTGACGGACTGACGCCAATGACGGATAAAGCTAATGACGGACTGACGGGAATGATGGATCCATTGACACCAATGCCGGAGCGACGCATGAAGAAGCGCCCTACATAGAGCCCTGTAATTTTGTAAGGTAGCATCGACGAATGACGGATGAAATGTTTTCCCCTGTCTAGGGCTACCTCATACGTCACTCCGTCAGTGAGTTCGTCACTCCGTCAAAGAGTTCGTCACTCCGTCAATGAGTTCGCCACTCCGTCAATGAGTTTGCCACTCCGTCAATGAGTTCGCCACTCCGTCAATGAGTTCGCCACTCCGACAAGGAGTTCGCCACTCCGTCACTTGGATGATTGACGGACTGACGCCAATGACGGAGTGACGGAATCATTGACGGATGTATAAGGTGTGTATAAGCCCTGGATTATGTTATACGTAACTACGTCAATCCGTCACTGGGATGATTTGCGGACTGACGTCAATGACGGATTGAGCCAATAACGCATTAACGCAGTGATGGATGAATTAGCTGTGTATCAGCCCTGGACTACTTCATACGTCATTACGTCAATGAGTTCGCCACTGACGGACTGGCATATTCTTTCGTTTTATTTTAAGAAACGTTAGTATTCATCATTTTGTAAGGTAGCATCGACGTACGTCTTTCTAAAAATTTTATTTTGATTTCGTTTTGTGATTATAATTCATTAATATTACATTTTTTGTTCGATAGCATTGACGATCGACGTTATGACGGAATCACTGACGTGAGTGGCGAACTCATTGACGGAGTGACGAACTCACTGACGGAGTGACGGGTGAGGTAGAATTGATTGAGCTAAAAATTGAAAGCGTATTCAAGAAGGTCAATAATTTCTATAAAACATTTTTTGATTTTTTTATTTTCAAGAGGATTCATCCATTGGTTATAATAAACAATTTTACTATAAATTAAAAAGATTTCAAGAACAAGAGCAATATCTTATACTAAACTAGTTTCAATAGGGTTCATCCTCGGGTGATAACTAACACTCACACCAAGTTTCGTCAAAATCTGTCAATAATTGAACCTTCTGGAGTATTTACAAGCTAAATTGAAAGTGTTTTCAAGAACAAGGGCAATAACTCATACTAATTATTTTTCGATATTACCGATTTTCAATAGGGTTAATCCTTTCATAATTACCAACACCCACGCCAAGTTTAGTCAAAATCCACCAAGATTGCACCTTTTGTGGCTAGTGTTTACGGACATTTCAAGAACAAGGGCAATAACTTTATACTAAATATTATACTCACTATTTCTAGATAAGTATTTTCTATATATCGTCATCTTAACATTCAAACACAATTAATTCTGGACACACATGGCTCAAATTTCTACGGTGAGCTGTGAAGACTATTACTGATTGGCTTAACTAAAAAATTCCCGTTTCCGAGGCTAAAGTATGATTTGTCAAAAAGAATGGCCTACCTGTCCCTTTAACTGTAGAAAGAGCTAAAAAGCTAAAAGCATGTCGTCAAAATTTATAATATTAAGACAGTTTGCTTGTGTAAGTGGCCAAATTGTTGAACGAATAGACGATTTTCCATGTCTGCGTCACTGACAGAGAGAAACCGAGTTGAAAGGTCCGAAGGTATCTCGACCTATGCCGAGACTGAACCTTTGACCTTCGGGTTAGCGAGCAACCGTCAAACTCACCGAGCCACCGCGGCTACCGCCTTGAATGTAGAGGCACTGTGAAAGTAATGAGCACAAAAAATAGAAGAATCAACACCTGATTCAGTAAGCACAAGTCTATAGCAACGGTACAGTACTGGTTGTTACTGCCCTATATGTTTGAAGTGAAACAGGTCAGTTTGTATGCATAGAACAAATAGTCCCATTTGAGTAGTACAGTTTGTCAAGAGAATTAGCTTTAGCTTGTTTAGAAATCAGAAAATGAAACCTTACCATATTTGATAATTTCAAAGCTACTCAAGTGTGCACAAGCAGCTGTAGACAAGGCCACAAGAAAATGTTAAGAAAATGGAATTAATGGAGTTTTACGTCCTACTTTTCTGCACGATGTGGGCTAATGAAGACGGGACAAGGCCACGGCCACAAGAGACATATAGTCTTAAAGTTCAGCGACTCTAAAGTCCAAGACTACTGAGACATCCAAAGTAAAGCTGTGTCTAGGATTTTTAGGTACTTTGATATACAAACCCTTCACTAAATTGTATCGCCAAACAACTTTAGGGATTCTATAAGCATAGATTTGTACGTACTAATCACACTATATGATTTCGTATACAATACTACAATAATCTCAGTGTGGAATTAATGTGGAATTGCAAATGGAATTAATTTAATCTGTTGTTAATTACTTGTTATGATAAAATGATGGGTCCGAAATCTTCTAAGGTAGGCCTATTTCCCGATACAGTCATGGCGCTCAAAATTATTTATGCTGATGGGTGTTGTAACTGATTGTGGGGCAAAATTAGCAGATCTCTGTGTAATGATAAGAAAGAAATAAGATTATGAAGCAAGAGGAAACCAAATTTGAGAAACACAAAAAAGTGTTATTTAACAAGGCCTTTTCTTCTTTCAACAATATTTTAAAGGCAATAAACCAATATATGGTTATATATCTGGAATCAAATGTGCATTCTAGCAGGAATAAAGTTGGGATTATTGGAATCAGCCAAATTTTGCATGTTCAACACATTTCGATATATTTCCATTTCTGTATAAAATAGTTTCATTTCGCTATAAATGTGTATGTTCCGATTTGACGTATTGTAGGGGTAGGTAACTCACAGCTCCATATAACAAAGCGTTGCCTTGTTGAGAGTTAATTGTTAATACAATATAGAGTAGTAATGTGTAATATTTTAAAATGCGTGGCAGACCTTTCACTGAACAGTTATGATTCGAATTCGAACTCGGTCTACACTCATACTATCTTTTGTTTATCAAGTATATGTAATTTGAATCAATTCCTGTCATAGATTTTTGAGTTACCTCCCTTACTTAATCAAACGTACGTGGTACCGTACGCCTCATGGCGCAACTATCAGATTGATTCGAATGAAATTCTTCCAATACGTTAAATATATATCGGATCATACAAATTTCCAAATTTCAGAGCGTTGCCTTATTAAGAAATTGTTATTTAACGAAAATAGCAAAACTTATAATATAGAGTAGCCTACGTAATGTGTAATATATTAAAATGTGTAGCAGATAGTCCCAGCCGTTTTGAATAACTTCGGTCAAGTTTATTGTGGATTCAAAATAGTATATACAGTTTTTTATATAAATGATACTGTCCATAGAAAAATGTTTTTAACTTGTATGTTATTTCAATGAATTCCAATGCTAGGTATACAACAATGTACAATTAATTTGGATTATGCTTTTATTTCTGTATAGTTTATAACAATTATAATAGCCTATACAAGAATAATAAAATTAATATACAAAATATACAATAATATTAATCATAAACAATAAATACATGTATATTCACAGTTGTATATCAATAACAAATAATTCGAAAACATAAGATTAGCTTTAGATTGTAGATTTGTGCTTCATGTTCTCTGGTAATCTTTGGTATGACCTTATGGCTCTTCAGTTTGAAATTTGCAGAACCGAATATAATATTGAAATGAAGTTTACATATGATGGCATCCCCAAGAATAGAAATCACAGTTAAATTAAAATACGCACAATGCATTCAGTTTTCCCACTTAACATGGGCAATTTTAATGGGCTAATGTATTACTCATAGTGAAATTTAGATAATGTTTGATTAATTGGTCATTGAGTAATAACACATGTTAAAATATGCAGACATAGTAAGGCATGGGAAATCCTAACTGATACTGATTATATATAAAGACAGCTTGTCAGGCAAGGTAACATACTCCCACAAGCAGATGTCAGAAATGATATAATCTTTAAATTTTTCGTATCAATGATCATCCTATTAATAAAAATTTTCTTAATACATATCTTCATAACACATTAGTAATATCTCATCAATTTACTGTCTGTTATGCTGACATTTTCCACAAAATTCATTAGCAATAACCAAAATACATAATATCATAAAAACACTGTTCTCATGTCTTACATGTTAAAAGATAATTTTTAAGTTCAGGCAATACTTCAAATGCCAATGATCATCAAATTCAAACATAGAACGAAGTCTCATGAACGTACATATTAATCTTTCAAATTTCATCAAATATGACACCTTTTAATAGTCAACAACAATTCCTAAAAAAACAAAATATTGTCAAATTCAAACTAATTGTTCTGATTTTCGACAGGTTTCATTCCTGGGTGATAGCAAACATTTATACCAAGTTTTTTCAAAATCAGTCAATAATTGAACCTTCTAGAGTGTTTACAAGCTAAAGTTGAACGCATTTTCAAGAAAAAGGGCAATTACTCAAACTAAATATTCTTCGATTTTTCTGATTTTCGATAGGGTTTATTCTTGGGTTATAGGAAACACTCACACCAAGTTTCCTCAAAATCCGTCCAGAATTGCACCTTCTAGTGTGTTCAAGTATTTCAAGAACAAGGGAAATAACTTTCATGTGGCCATATAAAAAAGTCACCAAACGACAAATTACAACCATGTATTTCCAGCTTCAGTCAGCCGTGTTGGGCAATAGCACCTACTGCACATATCCTTGGACACCAAGCTTGCGTTTAAAATACTACTAACATGTATAACAATGATTTGGTGCATATTAAAAATTTATCACAGTTTTGTAAGCTCATCTTTCTCACTGATAATAATGCCATTTTCAAATCTCCCTGTTTCTGTTGAAACACTCTCAGTCTCTTCCTGATCTTCAACATGTGATTTGTCTTCTGCTAACTTACTTGAACTTTGACCCTCACTTTCACAATCTGATATTACAAGATCATCACCTGACTCAACAGGATCATCTGATTCGCTAACCACAATTTGAATATCTGAAACTTTGACACATGTAATTTCTGAGTGTCTAATGTCACAACTTTGAACAGTTTGTAATTTATTTTTTGGCACTATATTATCGAATGAACCTATGCTTGAAATGTCGTCCTCAGAAAATCGTAACATTTTTCCACCAAGCTGAAAGTTTGCATGTGTGTTAAGAGGCAGACTGTATTCGGAAACATTATCAATATTTTCTGAGCGCTGTTTCAAAGCTGTCTGAAATAAGTCTGTAGCACTTGAATTAAGATTTAGACAACTATCGCTATCAGAGAAACTTGCGTTATCAAATGAAATGTCACTGAGCGAATCGTTGGTCACTGTTAAGAGTTTCCGTTTTCCACGAATATGAGTAGGGATGTTTGAAAGCGAGACTGAGTTTCCCACCATACTATATCTATCCCAATCACTTGATATAGAACTCTGGGTACTTCTTGTGCTCAAACGTATTTCTTCTATTCTTTTCAAACCACCAGCTAAAATAAAGATAATTACAAAATAATGTCAACTCTAATTTGCTTTTTACAAATATCTTTGATTTTAAGAAGTAACAGTATTTTGTCACATTAATATTGACTGTAATTGTGACTTGTGATAATGGTGCAAAGTTATAGCCCAAAAAATAGGACCTTTTCCATAATAATTCGTAATAAACTGAAATTTACACCATTTTTTACCATTCATTGTCACCTACAATACTACAGCTAAAAATGTCTCTGTCATTGTCAAACGCTTTTATTATGAGCTCCAAGATGAATTCATATGAGTTTATACTAAACGTTTGGTCACTGCATATAAAAGAAATAAAAACTTTAGTAATGTATTGGTTCATGGCAGATTAGAACCCCTTTCATCATCTCCCTGAAACAATTGCATTGGAATTTGAGTTGAATATATTTTTTCTTGTAATTTCTCCAGAAGTAATAATCTATGAATAATTAGTAAAACATATTCTGTTGTGACCTAGGCCAGTGCTTCTATAGGAGAGTATCTTCTATAACACCTATAACCATTTTTACTTGATCCTACTAGAAAATATTAGAGCAAAGGTTTGGGTTCTGGTCTTCTAGTAAACTAGTCCTGCTGAGAGACATGAGATAGAGCTGTAAATTCATAACCCACCTTTCAATAATAGATTTTCTTTGACCTTCAGTTGTTGTAGCTCTTGTAGTTTGAAAGATAGAACTTGCTGAAAGAAATTATAGTCAACAATATTGATCATTGCTAGAGCAAATAGTTGGTACACTTTTGTAAAATAAATAATAGCACTTTCATCCATTTTGCTATACCAAAGGAAGTTTCGAGTTTCACACATATATCCCTTAACAAGATAATCTCTTGTAACAGAGCTTGAGGACAAATATTGTGTTTGCCATTTTCAATTGTTTAACTCTATGTACACTATTGTTAATAGGTTTAATTGAATAGTGGTTTGGCTATTTGTGTTTTTTTGTTTTCAATATTGGCATGCTTGCTTGGGCACATTGCCCAAAAAAATTTACTATTAAAGATCTCCTCCTACCTTTAATTTTATAAATTTTTCATAAAGTTCAACTTTTCGACAACAATCTTCAAATAACACAACAACTCTACAAAACATAATAATGGTCAATTCAGGTTTTAGCACAATCTGGACGAGGGGGATTAAATTGTAATGTAATGATTTCTTAAATGTTTCAGATGTCAAAGGAGGAATCTTCTTAAAAAAAACTCTATGACAGAACCAAATACCTCCAGGTTTGCAGAACAACCATGAAACAAATTTTAAGTCAAATAAGTAGGTGCAAAGTCCTCAACCACATTTGCTACTCATGTTTGTTTGATGTTAAAATATTTCTTTGCAACATTTATTTAATTATTTACAAAATGCAAAAAATATATTTTAATACATTCCATAAATACAGGATAGCAATGCAAAACAACAAAAAACTTTAAAAATTCACATACCTCATAGCATCTCCAGCTTGGCGTATTTTCTGAACAAGTTGTTTATGTGTGACTCCCTCTACTGGTTCACCATTAATAGATAAAAATATATCTCCTACAAAAAGAAAGATTTACATAGTGATGTGATGAAAGAAGTATTTTTTCAAACTTTCTTTTGGAACCCCATGAGGCTTACTTGAGACATTTGTACCATTCAACTACTTTTAAATATTGTTCATGAACATAACACAGTATGTTAACTCATATTTAATAGAGAAGTTGTAAACAAATCTTATGAAAATTAATCTTGCAAATTAAGCTTATGAAGTTTAAAAGCTTATAAAAATTGACTTAAAGAAGCCTCAGTATAGGGACATTCCACTTTTTTGTAGGTCGAATTTTTATTTTGCTCAAATTTATGATAACTATACACTAAAATCTAGAAAAAAGTGTCCCTTAACATATCTGCAAATTTTGACTAAAAAAATATTGCTGTTAAACGCCATAACTTTTTAAAAACATTGAGTAAAGTTTGTAAGTTCGTAATACGTTTTGTTTTGGTAGTTGGAAGAAAACTACTGTACGGGTTTAAGCAAACTAAACGCAAAATTGTGGTGAAATATGTCTTGTACTTATTTGGAAGGTTTTAACTAATAACATTGAGTTGTTACACCAAAACTAGGTCAAACTGCTAATCAACAATTACTACACTCTGTTCTTCATTATCCCTTAAACAAAATCAGTTTGATCAAGTAGATACATAAATGTTAATAGAAAATTAAGAAATGTTTTCAAGTATAATTTCAATGTGTTTGATAATGAAAATTTTCCGAACTGCCCTTTCAACAGGCATAAAGGACCTTGAAAGTTCTTTGGCACCTTATTATTTGGTAACAGAATAAGCTGAAACTAAGTAAACCAACATTACCTCTTTGTAAACCAGCAATCCATGCTGGTCCATTATACTCCACATAATCTACATAAGTCATAACTTCTATCTCATTGGTACGCTTATTTTTAACACCATACGTCTGAAATATATAGTTTCATTTTGAAAGTAGAGTCGGAATATGGTTTTGGAAATCTCATAAAACCTCCCTCATATGTTCTGGTTTTCATCTGTAAAGCAATTTTACAAACTGTATCTAAGTCACTGAATGCATTGATGTACACCATTTCATTTTCAGTCATAGGTCGAAATCTTACCTGAAGAGCAAAGCCCCAAGAATCATTTTTCTTGACCAAGCGAATTGTGCGTCTTTTTCTGTTATCATCAGGATCTGTTTTAATGGCCCGATCTTTCTCCAGATGTTCTAAATCATCTCCTACAGATCCTTTCAACATCAGAGGCTGCAAATATAAATACAAAATAACAGTGACCCAGCTTTATCAAAAAAAAACCACCCATATATGTTGTTTATAAGCTGATCTTTGGGTATATCTCTCGGCATTTATCTTTACCGAATGGTCTGTACCCATTTACAGCTGGGTCGTCTAGAGTAGTAAGGACCACACAAGGTCAAAATAACAAACAAATTCCAGCACTCTAACGAATGAAATACGGTCCGTCATTATTTTCTCAAAAATTGATTAATTGCCTAAATAAAACTTGATATATCTATATCTGCAGATAATTAATGATATAGTTCTCAGTAGAGTTAACAATTGTAACCAGCTATCTAGTTAAGAAATATCTGCATCATCAGAGATCAGAGATTTAAGTGACCATTGAATTCATTTCAGGAACTTTTGAGAGGCATATATAGACAGCAAAGTGTTTCATGCTTCTTATCTGGAAAAGAATTGAATCCGGAATTGCAAAGGAAGTCTCTGTAAGATCCATTTCTGAGCTGTTTGGATCTATGATGCCACTTCAGTAGGTAAGTAAGACTGTTTTCAAATAATTATAGTCACAATTTGCCTTCTAAATAAAGCTACAGATAGGTAAAATTGAGTTCTATCAGGTTTAGCATATATCTGAGGATGACAAATTCCTATCAAATTTTCTTCAAAACAATTTGCTTTTCACTATAACATAACATCAAGAAATCTATTCAAAATACACTTTTGATGTGAAATTTATGGTTCAGTTGACATTATATTCTTTATTTTGTTGTGAGTTGAATTATATGTGCACAAAGCTAATGAAATAATGTATTAACAAGCTGTTACTAGAGAGATAAGCAGAACAAAGGCAAAGTAAACATACAGTAATAGTTGTGATGCTGTGTGTTCGTTCGCTCTAAATATCATATTGATTGTAATATGTTGTTGATGTCATGCTCTATTCTATTCAGTCAATTTCAAAGTATTTATCCAAAAGGTGTACTGAGTTCAATTTTGGCTAAGCATTTCCCTTTTTCAGAACTACAAAGATTCTGCAATAATGCAATAATGTCAACTACAAGTCAAGACAGTCTTAATAGATGTTATGAACACCTTAAATACCAAATTAATTATTAAGATGACTATTTTCCTTTCAAATAAATGTTTTCATGCTGAAACTAAAAAAAATCACCTACAATAATATGGTTACACAATAGCTTATACTGCAAAAACATTTTATCTAACAAATTATCACAAAAAGGTCCTTTCTAGCAAACATTTCATATATATATAGTCATAGGATTTAAAAAAGTTATTATATAATACTTTAGAAATTCATCCTTACCCAATATGGTGAAACACCCAAATCACCCCAGAATTGTTCTACAGTGGCCTGAACTAATACGGAAATCATTTTAAAAAGATTTTTAAAAGATTTGCTTCATTTACCAGTAAGGCACTAGTTTAAAATTCTAGTACTAAAAGTCTACATGTTACAGCAAATTTCTCAATCACAGTACAACAGGAACTTATCTCACTTTTGATTGAATTACCAATTATCTACACATTAGGCACAACTAGGAAGTTCTAAATTTTTATCATGTCCTTCTAGTGGATGTAATAATGTAGATTAGGCCCTCAGTATCCAATCCATAAACTGAGGTCAAATACAGTGATAAAAAACATACGTAGGCATACTATATCTTATCAGATCAAGTCAAAAATGACAAGAACTTCACATTTAATATCCTGTACAAGCCTATTTCATTGCAAATTAAAGGTTAGATAAAGAAAGAACAAAACAACTTCAATACTTTCATTTAAAGTGATGTTCTCCCTTAATTTTTTTTAGCAGTAGTTTTAAAAGCCACTTCACACATTATGTGAATACACAATGAAGCTGTAAAAGAGGTTTTAGTTTTTTTCTTGAATATACCAAAAATATTCCATTTGGTTTCAGTTAGTTGCGTCCATAGCCAAAGTTGCAGAGTGATATCAGGTTTTCCTGCATACTCAAAACAAATACTTTCATTCAAATTTAGAGACAACATACCTTTAAAACAAAGAAAAAAAGACCTGAGTACATCCTCAAACTTAACAAAAGTGTAGGCTGTCATATTTCCTTATGAAAAAAGTCATAACAACATACAATAAAGACAATAGTCTAATCATATTGTTTTATCATTTTACACAAAATCTCTCAATATCATACTTCATTTCCTTAACTTCTAACAAAAGTCACTACAAAGGTAAGAAAACAATGACATTTTTTATTGTAATGGTATGCTTAATTGAGAGTTAAGAAGAATTTTTTTTAGTGTTGCACAAAATAAATCTGGGAATATATTTTTCCAATCATATAACATTTTCAGTAAATATGCATTTTGGACAAAAGCCCTTTGTTATGATGAACAAAATATATGCCAAGGACCTAAAGGACTTAAACCGTGACTTCCCTTTCAAGGAGTCCAAATGAATTATTAGTCATATTCATTTAAAAAAATAGTCCAATATATCAAGAAAAATGAAACCATCCTGTTCAAGATTTTCTCCTATCCTTTCCCTTAGTGTTTCATAACAAACCACCCTTATCACCAAAACACATTTTGGAAATGTACCACATTCTAGCCAGATATCATATCTTGATCAATATAGTTCCATCATAAATCACAAATCAGGATAGTAAAACAACTGAGATAAGTCGAGAGGGAAGTAGATCAGTTATCAGCTGATTATAACTGGTAAATTGGGGGTATTTTATGTCCGATTGGTAGTTAATCATTATAATTTACCTGTGTACCTGTAATCACATTATAGCTTCAGGTATAATATCATATATCATTAATTAAACATCATCCATATTTCATGTTATAATTACATCTATTATCAGTATCACATTATTTACATACATACTCCAGTCTGACTAATGAAAGGTGTGGTGGTTGAGAGATTGAGTAAAGACTAGACATTCCATCCCAGCAGAGATTTGGTCACCATTTGTTTGGATCTTTCTGTGACGAAGGATGCAGTGACAAACATGGATAAAAGACTTTGGTGTCAAGATCATATGTGTGTTAGACTGTTCGAAATCTCTAAAAGATATACATCCCAATCCCAGTCTCCTTGTTAATAAAAGATAGCTTGCCAGGCAAGGTAATATATGCCCACTGGCAGCTTTCATTTTAAATAAAAAAATTTAGCAGTACAGTTACATTCACCAGTATGAAATATTCAACCTTAATTTCAATAGGGATCATCCTTGGGTGATTATGAACACTCACATCAATTTTCGTCAAAATCCATCAAGAATTGTTCCTTCTAGAGTGTTTACGAGCTAAAAATTGAAAGCGTTTTCAAGAACAAGGGCAATAACTTATACCCTTTCGATTCTTCTAATTTTCAATAGGGTTCATCCTTGGGTGATTACGATCACTCATACCAAGTTTTGTCAAAATCCATCAAGAATTGTGTCTTGTAGAGCAATTGTGGACGGACGGACATGGGTGACAACAATATTCCCCCCCCCCCCCCCCCCATTTTATGTGGGCGTATAAAACGCACCACCCACACTATGCAGATTAAAAAGATGCCACAAGGAAATAAAAGAGTAAATTAGAAAATGAATGATATGAAAAAGCTTACTGTTTTCCTTTTAGGCTTAGGAAGTTTCTTCCACACTGAATTCATGATTCGAAAGTGAATTTCATTGAAAAATATATTTTGATATAGAAAATTTCATCCAGACACACATTTCAATTTTTGTTCTTCAAACACAAGTTATTAGCCAGAAAAGTGAAAAGTTGTTTATTGACATTTTTGAATTTGCTTTAAATGTTAATCCCCTTACATTTCAAGCATCTTAGCAACTGTACACAACCAACCAAGTATTCATTCTTCAGCCCCTTACACCAATCTACTTTAAAAGACAATGATGATTTATTTAAAAAATCAAAACTAGACCATTTTCTTAATTAATAGATTAAAAATATATGCTAATCCCTTAATCTCTTTATTTGTAATCCTATAATAAACCATTGACATTTTGCACAATTAAAACCAGTCAAATTATATGTAACAAGGAACAATAGTCCTAATCTGTCAAAATCCCTTTTTTTTCAAAATATAATACTAACATATAACATACATATAAAACAGACAACAGTATTACATTTTTGAAAATTTTAATTATTCTAAGTTACATCCACATCCAAAAAATGTCAATGGGAAAAATTGTTTGGAATTATATATTTGAATTATTTATCAAGATGAAAATTTGTCATTTGCTATCGTTAATATATCCATTCATTAAAAGAAAAGTGTAGGGATTCCTAGCTGAATTCCTAATGTCAGTTCTGATCATTGTAAACTTAATTTCTTTTTTTGAAAGTTGCAGGGATGTAAGTGTAAGTATGCAATTGCTTACACATGTATATTCCAATATGTTTTGATTGAAACAATTCATAGCAAATGTTTATGGCATATTTTACTTAATATATTTTTTGATCCAGTTGGTATTTAATAAATGTCTTAAAGTTTTAAGATGAAATCTGATTAAGAAATTAAAACATATTACAGACTTAAATGTCACATTGACCTATTATAACAGGAGACAAAATGTCTTGATATCAAGATCTATATCCTTTTACATACTTAAATTTTAAAAGGTTTAAAACAATAATAACCATTAAAGTAACTTGGTGCATGATATTTGACAGCTAGAAATATTCAATTACATGAATATCACCATCAATCTGAGTCAGAATATGGCTGGTTAAATATGTATATTTGGCATTATATCAAATAGGAAAACCAGTGTAAATTAAAGGGCACTCATGTTTTAAACATCAAGAAAGAAAACTTGCCAAAGAACAATTCCAGATGTTAAAGCATACATGACTATTTTCCCAGTGCAAGTCGGAGGGGCATCTTCACAATATCAAAAGCATTACAAACTTGGTCTAATACCTAGACATCATTATGAAGTTTTCTTGTACAGTATCACAAAATATCGATTGAGCCATTATAAAGCAAAACACCAAAACTAGGTCAAACTGCTTAATTAACAATTAGTTTTTAACTAATACTTTTAAAAAAATTCAGTTTCATCAAGTAGATACATGGATAATAATAGCATTCTTTAGAAATTGTTCACCTGTATATGAAATACAGTAGATAAAACTTAATAACCATAAAAAACATTATTTATGTCTTATATTTCTAAACATTCATATTTAATTTACCCCCCAGAATCTATATAACAAACAGAATATCAAAATATCTCAAAGTCTTTATAAACCAAATTTATGTCTTAAAGACAAGATATTGTGTCAAATTTTTATAGCAGGCCTACTACACTAAATGACCATTACTATTTGATATTATGATAAACCTGAAAGCTCTGAACCATAAATCTAAGTTAGTAGATCTATCTTGGTTCAGTCCACAAACAATACTAGTCCCATTAAGAACATAATGTGGTCAATTAAAGGACTAGTTAGATACTTGTATAGTATTTAATGTACTGGAAATATACTTAAAAATACTAATAAAACACAATTCTTGACACAAAAAACATCAAATGTGACCAGTTAATAATCAGTCATGCTTTGCTTTGGTTATTCATTCATCTAATTCATTTATTTCTTCTTCACTCAGGATATAATCATCAAAATATTTGCTTTATGATTTGATAGAGCTCCATTTCAGCTATCTGTAGCAAACACTTTGCCAGATTCAATTTTAAAGTACATTTAAATACAAAAGAGAATTTGTCTGTTACATGATGGGAAATATAAAGAAGAGAGAAACATTACCTGTAATAGGTAGTCCATCATAGAATATAATGAAAGGTAATAATATGATAGAATGAAACTGTTTTCATCATCATATCATTATACTTGGATAGAGGTAGTCTGAAACTCTAATGCAATTAAGACCTGTTGCTAAAATTCTCTCAAACAGTTTTTGTTTTTCTGACTCTACCTTAATGACATTTGTCAACATTTACAGCCAAGATCAAAGCAAGAGTCAAAAAGTTTAAGACAAGAAAAGAGCTCACAAAATTTCTAGCTTAATTCATTCAAACATAGAACATTTGAGCCTAAGAAAAAGATTTTGTTTAATGGTTTCAGTATAAAGTCACTACACAAGTGTCATCTTTGTTGAAGAAAATCAATTAAAATTAGACCAAACCATAGTACCTTTTTTTCATTAGCTTTTATTTTTAATAATAGATTGCCGAAATCAATTTATCGTTTCTCTTCAAAATACTTTCCTTTGTTTTCTTTGTTCAACATTCCATGGGCCAGATTATCTACAGTTTACAGAACAAATATTAAATTATTAACACACATTTTGTTTATTCAAATTGAAGAACTTAAGACTTTTAAGTCCTGTGCCTTTGCTTTCATAACT